ATGGCCCAAGAAATGGTCTCCTGGACCCACATGAGAGATCCAGATGAAGTTCCTGGCTCCTGGCTTTGGCCTGACCCAGCTCTAGCTGTTGCAGCCATCTGGGAAGTGAACCAGGATATGGAAGCTCGCTCGCTCGCTCTCTCTCTCTCTCTCTCTCTCTAACTCTTTCAAATAAATAAAATAAAACCTTTTTAAAAGGTCTGACCACATGCTCACACCCACTGCAGTGGCTATAATGACGGCTTGGGCCATCATTGTGGCATAGCATGTTAAGCTTTTGCCTGTAATTCCGGCATCCCACATGGGCACTGGGTCAAGACCCAGCTGGCTCCACTTCTGATCGAGCTCCCTGTTAATGACCTGGGAAAGCAGTAGAAGATGGCCCAAGTCCTTGGGCCCCTGCATCCATGTGGGAGACCTGGAAGAAGCTCCTGGATCCTGGCTTTGGCAGGGCCCAGCCCTAGCCATTGCAGCCATTTGGAGAGTGAGCCAGCGGATGGAAGACCTCTCTCTCTCTGTCTCTTTCTCTGTCTTTCCTCCTCTCAGTGTAACTCTGCCTTTCAAATACATTTAAAAAAAAACTTAAAAAAAAAAAAGGACCAGGCTTTGTTTGTCAACTGAGTGAATACAGAACTAGCAGAGCTAAGGAACGGACCACAGCATGTCAGCCAGCCGTCTCTGACAATCCCCTTCATTCTCTCCATTTGGGCCCAGGAGCCATGAGTTACACGACATATGATAACGTACATACTATGGTTTGGGGATGGTCTGAGTGTGTTCCCCATGGCGTCATGTGCTGGAAGCTTGGTCCCCAGTGTGACGATGCTGAATGGTGGTTTTAAGAGGTGAGCAGGACACGGGGAACACTGCCCTCAGATGGGATTACAAGAGTTCTCTACAGGCTCCTGGTTCCCCTCACCAAGGTGGGCTGTCACAGCGCAAGGGGGCCCCATGGGCTTGGCCCTTCCCACACACGGTCAGTTCCCTTGTAGCGTCTCTGTCATGTCATGGCCTGAGCCCTCACCACAGCCCAACAGATGTCGATGCTATAGTCCTGAATCTCCTAAGCTAGGAGCTAACTGAACTGTTTTTCTCATAAATGCCCATCTTCAGGCATTTTGTGATGCAACAGAAAGTCAGACTAAACCATTACACAAACCTAGCTGGGACGCATTCTGGCACCAGGTAAGCACTCAAAAACTGCTCACAAGTTTGCTCACGCGTCCTTCAGGTGACGTGAGCTGGAGCCCATCTACTCAAGAGGCAGAACGAACAGTGAATGGTTAAAATCATTCTGGTATGAGAACCCCTGGATTCAAATCCTGAGTGTGACAATTACAAACTGTGCCTCAGTTTCCCCACCTGAAAACAAAGGTTAGAGGAGCACCAACCTTCCAGGATTGCAGGATCGCTGTGAAGATTGAGTTGTGGGTTAAAAGCTGAGACGGTACCTGGCGCACAGTCAGGACCATGTAATTGTTCACTGTTGATGTTTTCTTTGTGTTGATCTGCCTCTCATATTCGATCAGTTACACTAGTGCCTGGTTCCAATATACACTACTTTCCTTTAAAAATTTCAAAACTGAGGCCAGTGCCGCGGCTCACTAGGCTAATCCTCCGCTTGCGGTGCTGGCACACCGGGTTCTCGTCCTGGTTGGGGTGCTGGATTCTGTCCCGGTTGCCCCTCTTCCAGGCCAGCTCTCTGCTGTAGCCAGGGAGCGCAGTGGAGGATGGCCCAGGTGCTTGGGCCCTGCACCTGCATGGGAGACCAGGAGAAGCACCTGGCTCCTGCCATCGGATCAGCGTGGTGCACCGATCACAGTGCGTCGGCCGCAGTGGCCATTTGGGGGGTGAACCAATGGAAAAGGAAGACTTTTCTCTCTGTCTTTCTCTCACTGTCCACTCTGCCTGTCAAAAAAAATTTTTTTTCAAAACTGAGAAGTTTTAATTAGATTAAATGTCATTTTTAGTCTCTTTTCTATTTGTTTCTTGCTAAATACTGTCCAAAAAACACATCCAAGTTGCTAGTGAATGTGTGAAAAAGTCAGCAACTGATTGTGAGTACTAGGCCAAGAAGAGTGGCCAGTAGGGTTGCACGCAGAATGGTGACCACCTGTGCCGAGACCCAGGCAGGTGCTGGCTCCTTTTGACCTCTGCTAGGTCCCTTAACCTGTGCCTCAGGCCATCACCTATAAGAGAGCGCCCCCTCCCCGATCCACCCTATCTCCTAAAGGCTACAGTAAATGAGGCCAAACATATAAAAGCCTTTGCAACTCCTAAGGCACTGGGCACAGGTTAGAAAGTACCTGATCTATTCATGGTATTTCAGATTCTATGAAATAACCCTGTTTCTAAAAGTTCTCAAATAAGCCCCAAACTGTAGTCCTGCCAACAAGCAGAGCCCCAGCAGGTGCCTCTGACGGATGCTAACAAGCAGCCCGTTTCCTTTGAGAATCTAAAGAGTAGACATTCTTTTGACGACTTCCATTTATAGCTCAGTTGACTCAATAAAACCATCTTTGAATTGCTCTGCACCTGAGCCCACAGGCCGTGCCCAGTGAAGGCTCTGCACAAAGGGAGGGCAGGTGGCCTGCACCAACTATTCCCATGTCCCACATTCACTCTGTCTGTCCCCAAGTCCCCTCCCTCCTGTCCCCACACTTCACAGCAGGCTTCAGAAGTTGTATTTCTGGCTCAGTGGCTCTTCTAGCCACCACTGGGTTTAGACCAGATTTAGCTGGAGAATCGGCAGGTGACCGAGCTACACGAGGGAGAGGTCAACCCCACTCCAGCTCCAGCCCCCGCATTCTGGCTGCCACGGGGCTCCCCGCCCTGCTCGCGATGACAGAAGTCTCCCCTTCCCCAGCCCTGCTTCCACCTGCTAATCCATGGGAGGGACACAGGGGTCCTAAAGCACAGGCAAGGAAGGAGAAGCACAGAGGAAGACGCTGGGGACCGCCTCCAACGTCTCTCTCCCAGGACGGCTGACCCTTGCCACCCTGCAGGTGTCCCTGGGCAGCTGGGGTGACCGGCTGGGCAGTGGCTGGTCACAGAGGGAGGAGGTGGAGCGGTGTGCAGCCATGCAGTATGCCAGTCTGGCTTCTCCCGGTGGCTCTGCCCCGCCCTGCCCCGCCTAGCTATGCAGTGAGATGCCCCAGCTGTTCTTCCTTGAGCTTCTTCTGACTGCATCACCAGGCTACTTTCCTGGGCTGTTCGGTGTTCCTCCCCCTCCCCATCTACTGTGCAGATCAACCAGCCTTAGGGGAAGGCAGTCCCCCCACCCCGGACCACCTAAGGTGAAGAGACACCCTTCCCTCTCCCCCCAAGCCCTACCTGCCCGCATGGGACTCACAACCAGGCCCGAGGGCCCAAACCCAAAACCGCAGCAGGCCTCACTCCAGCAGTGTCTTGGCTACTACGTTTCAGAGTCCCAGATATCACTCATCTCCAGTGGGACCACAGCCTCTGCACAGCTATAGCTTGCACCATTGCCTTTACTGCTGCCACTGTCAGAATTCAGTCCCTGCCCTCCGGAGCCCCCAGCACCCACACCCATGCTTCAGCCACCACCCACTGCAGAGCGCTGCCCTGGCCTCTCTCCAAGAGACTGAGAGTTCACGGGCTCTGAAACAGAACTTTGCAGGCAGCCTGGGCCCTGCTCACGGCAGGGGTGTTATGCGTGTCTGCTGGTCGTCCCCCCAGCAGTGACACACCTGGGAAGCGCTATCAGAGCCTAACACACAGAGGTGACTCACTCACCTCCATAGGCCTACTGCCCTTGGTGAAAGACGCAAAATACCAGATTCTGATGGACAGAGCATGCAAATCAGACACTGACTCCCCTCCGAGGCCTGGGGGTCATCTTGAGCACTAAGTCACCTGGGCCTCAGGTGGCAGGTCTGAGCCAGAGGAAGGAGCGAGGGAGCCAGCCGGCATGACGATGCTCTGGCAGAGTGACCTGGCTCCCAACCTGGGCTGGCCCACCTTCCTGGACCCCAGCCCAACTATGACAAAGGCAATTGTCCCGATACCCACGAAGGTGCCCTTGCCAATCTTGGCTGCACCGCCGGCTACAATGTCACGGCAGTAGTAACTACCACTAGCTCAGTGCTTAGCCATGCCAAGTAGGCTGCACACACGAGCACAGGCTGCCCAAGCAGTGGGCAAGGACTCTGAGGTCACACATCCTGGGTTACGCATCCCTGCAGGGACCATCTGAGTGCCACCTGTGTGCCAGCTCTGTGCCAGGCACTGGGGATGCCTGAGGGACTAAGACACAGCCCCTGTTATGAAGTTCACAGGTCGTGGAAGAAAACAGATGGAAAAATAGGCCACAGAATATGAAATGGAGATCCCATGACTAGCGTATTAACCTAGCCCAGCCTCAGACGGCCAAGTGAGTCCTAAACAAGGCTAGCCACATGACTTCGTGCAAATGGCTTATAATGACATCCCAATTGATTTCTAACATTTTTTCATGCATATCTTTAAAAAATAGTGCACCCTTACTATCTGGAGTCCCTGACCTGCACTTGATGTTTTCCCGGAAGATCACTAGGGTCACAGTTATCATTTACTGCAAAACTCAGGGTACCTCTGGGAGTGGGGGAAGGGGGAGGGATGATTCACAATTCCATTAGGACAATGGGGAAAATCAGATGGACCATGCTGGGCAAAGGATGGTCTCCTTAGCCATCACCCCCAGGCCAACTTCACGGTCAAGAATGGCAGCGGCACCGTTCACAGCCTTCCTCTGTCATCTGCGGGAGCTGCCAACGACTCAGCCTGCAAAACCTCCAGCTGGGTGGCAGCCAGCAGCTGCCCTGGCCCATCCAGAAGTCCACAAAGGCAGTGCACACGGCGCTGCCTCACCACCGCCACGCAGCCCTGCACCCACTCAGCTCCTGCCAAACCCAGGGAAGACGACAGTCCCAGGCTGGCTGGGTCTCAGCCCCTGGCATCCAGACCAGCGTCCTTCGGCAAGGCGCGGGCCCCCTTACCTCAGGTGGCCCAGGCTGTAGAAGCGGGACTCGCCATCGGTGGAGCGGACCACCTGCAGCGTGAACATGGGCTGCAGCTGCCTCAGCTCCAGCAGGACGATGGCCAGGTAGTGGATGAAGAGGAGGGCGTCCACGAGGGACACTGCGTATTGCACGATGCCCTGGTAGTTGCGGTCCCGCGAGTCCAGGATGCGGACCCCGTAAAACAGCCAATAGGAAACCACGAACAGGAAGATGAGGACCAGCAGAAGGGCACGGAACACAAACACCCGGGGCACGTCGGCCCTCTGTCTGCGGAAGAAGAGCGCCCAGGTCCCGATGAGCAGAATGAGCAGTTTGAACGCCATGGAGATGAAGAGCCCCTCGCAGATGGTGCCACAAGGCTCCAGCTCCTCCCGCCACAGGATCGGGGGCAGCAGGATGAAGGCGATGGGCGTGAGGAACACCAGGAGTCCCAAGACCGAGGCCACCGTGAGGCCCAGGTAGCGCTGGCAGTCCAGCCCCACGCTGTCCTCCATGTCCTTGCTGATCCTGGCGATGTCCTCCTGGGAGATGCTGTGCTCTGAGGTGCCTGTGATGGCCGTGGTGGTCTCTCCCCAGTTGTCATCCTGGGGGCAGGGGGAAGAACACCATGAGCATGCTGTCCCTGGTGAAGACACAGAGCACCCAGCCCTGTCTGCAGAGAAAACGGAAGCTTGGGGCTGGTGCTGTGGCACAGCAGGTTAATCCACTGCCTGCACGGCTGGCATCCCATGTGGGTGCCGGTCCAAGTCCCAACTGCCGATGCAGCTCCCTGTGCCTGGGAAAGCAGCAGGAGTGGCCTAAGTGCTTGGGCCCCTGTACCCACATCGGAGACCCGGAAGAAGCTCCATTAATGTGCCTGGGCAAGCAGCAGAAGACAGCCCAAGCGCTTGGGCCCCTGTACACACATGGGAGACTCTGAAGAAGCTCTTGGTTCCTGGCTTCAGATAAGCCCAGGTCTCAGTGTTGCGGCCATTTGGGGAGTGAACCAGTGGACAGATGATATCTCTGTCTCCCTCTCTCTCTGTAATTCAGCCTTTCAAATAAATAAAACAAATCTTTAGAAAAAAAAATAGAAGCCTACTAGAAATTTTTTTAACTACAACAATTTTCAGTGAAATGCTTTTTTTTTTTTAACAAAAGCTGCATGGAATTTTTTTAAAAAAGATTTATTTATTTTATTTGAAATACAAAGTTACAGAAAGAGAAGAAGAGACAACAGAAAGAAACAGATCTTCCATCCGCTGGTTCACTCCCCAAATGGCCACAAAATCCAGGGCTGGGCCAGGCTGAAGCCAGGAGCTTCTTCCAGGTCTCCCACGTGGGTGCAGGGGCCCAAGGACTTGGGCCATCTTCTACTGCTTTCCCAGGCCACAGCAGAGAGCTGGATTGAAAGTGGAGCAGGTGGGACTTGAACTGGCACCCATATGGGATGCTGGCACTGCAGGTGGCGGCTTTACCTGCTACACCATAGCACTGGCTCCTGAAATGTTTGTAAATGTATTATAACCTGTCCTTTTTGTATGCTAGGGTGTTTCCTAAGTATACCACTGAGTCTCATTCTGTGTTGAACCCCTGAGAGGCTCGGAGGGACACTGCACTAGAGTCTGGTACAAGGCGAACCTTGAGAGCTCATCTGTGAAGGAAACCCTGGTGCCTCCTTCCCAATTCTTGCTGCATGACTCTGGCTGACAAAGTCCTCCTCCCCCACCTCCCCCACCCCACGGTATGGGAGTGGGAAGTGCAATACTGATGATCTAAAGAGCTCTGAAGAACACAGGGCACACCAAAAGCCACACTTCATATTTACTCTCACCTGCATCCAGCGCACGCCTTGTTCAAAACCTTCTGTGTGACGCTCGCAAGACCCACCTGATGAGTATCATCACTGCATTGCTTACCGCTCATGCAGACTGAAGCCACGGATCTCTACACCCAGCATGGCTCCACAATTCCTTGTGATACATACATTTTCAGGACAAGGTTAACATCCCGGGCAAGGGAATAACCAGGAGTATTGGAATGGGCCATTTTACTTTCTTGCTTTGTCTCTCTTTTTAAACTTCTGGGTTCTTGGGGCAATTAGTTTATTTCTAAAGAAAATTATTATGATTTTAAATGATTTGACTACTTCACTGGCAACTATGATTCCATCCCAAAGCAACCACACAGGAAGACGACACTAGAAAGCCGAAAGTGCTCCCAGTAGACTCTGCTTTAGAGATTCTTGTATGTGGAGGCCCCCACTGTGGCACAGTGAGTGCCAGTTCCAGTCCCAGCTGCTCTACTTCCAGTCCAGCTCCCTGCTAATGCGCCTGGGAAAGCAGTGGGACACGGCCCAAGTGCTTCGGCACCATTACTCACATGGAGATGCAGATGGAGTTCCAGGCTCCTGGTTTTGGACTGACACAGCCCTGGCTATTCTGGCCATTTGGGGAGTAAATTAACAGAAGGAAGATCCCTCTCCCTCTCTTTCTCTCTCTGTGGCTCTGCCTTTCAAATAAATAAATAAATCTTTATTTAAAAAATTTTAAAAAGAGATTCTTGTATATGATTAAACTCAGGGGGAAAAACAGTCATATGTAGTAGTTAGGCTAAGTGAAATTAGGACATCAACTTAGAAAAATCTAGTTTAAGTTAATAGCCAAGTTGGCTAAACAAGACATTTCTCATAATCAAATCAAGGAATGACCAAAAAAACTCCATGATTTGTGAAGTGATACTGATGCTGTAGGGCTTGGCCTATGAACAAACAGCCCTTCACCTTGCAGAGGTAGCAGTGTCCCATGCCACGAGAGAAATCAATATTTAAGACAACAGCTAAAAGAGGCTGGAGCCCGAGGCATCGCTGGCAGACATGCACACTTGGCACAGCACCTCTGGAAGGTGCGCATAAATTCAAACACTTCACTGCATGGCCCCGCAGCTCCACTCCCAGGTTTTACCCACAACAAATGAAAACAGAAGCGCACAAGAGACTTGGGTAAGAATGTTCTTGACAGCTTCAGTGCAACAGCCAAGATGGTGCAACCCAAATGCCCACCCACCAAAAGGAGGAATAACAGCAAGTTGTGGTCATTCACACGATGAGATGCTACTTGGCAAAATCAACTGTTGAGACACACCAAACCATGGCTAACCATAATACCACCACGTTGAATGGGGAAAAACTCCTAGGACGCCAATTATATTCAATTCTAACACAGGCAAAACCAACCAGCACTGACAGAACTTGAAACACTGGGTGCCTTGGAGAAGTGTGGGTAAGGACAGTGATGGAGATATTTATGTTTGTATAGGGGAGTGGGTTATATGGATTATTTGCCTGTTAAAACTCAAAGTATAAATTAAAGATCTGTTCAGTTCTTGGTGTGTAAATTTAGGACACTTTTGTGGAAAAAAAAAAAATGCATCGGGGCCAGCACTGTGGCGTAGTGGGTAAAGCTGCCGCCTGCAGTGTGGGCATCCTACACAGATACCGGTTTGAGTCAGGCTGCTCCACTTCCAATCCAGCTCTCTGCTATGGCCTGGGAAAGCTGTAGGAGATGGTTTAAGTCCTTGGGCCCCTGCACCCGTGTGGGAGACCCAGAAGAAGCTCCTGGCTCCAGGCTTCAGATCGGCCCAGCTGCAGCTCTTGCGGCCATTTAGGGAGTGAACCAGTGGATGGAAGATTTCTCTCTCTCTCTCTGCTTCTCTGTAACTGCCTTTCAAATAAATAAATAAATCTTTAAAAAAAGAAAAGGGAAAAAATATCCACAAATTCAAAGATATCCACTCTGTACTTTAAAAGAAGGTGAGTTCACAGGCTACAGAAAATGACTGGCTTTTACCACTCTTACTGAAGACAAATACAGGATTCCATGTTTTATATTAGGTCAAATATTCAGTCGATAATCAGTGCTGGAATGATTATTGCTAGTTATCTTGTGGACTACCACATAGCTCTGATTTGGCCCCCCATCCTTCTTCCTGCCGAACTGTTTCCAGCCAAGTCCTCTCGCAGAATTTGCACATATCTGTGCCTACACAATGCACAAAAGGCTCTCTCACACTCGAGGTTCTTAGAGCGGAAAGGATGTCAGATTCCCAAATTCAATCTCCTAGATATTTAGTGAAGAAACTGACGATTACACAGGCTGTGACTGCCCACGGTGACATTGCTGCTGAGAAAAACAGACTACAAATCCCATTTCAATGCTTTTCCCACCATACAGCAGTCCTGGCGTAAATACCAATAACTCCTAACACAGCTTCTCAGTACAGACAGGGGACAAAGAAGCTGCAAAACCAGAAATGCACCAGCACTTCTGAAGCCAGTCAGCCAACCACTCGTCCGTCCGTCCATCCATCCATCCACCCATCCACTCACCCACTCATCCCATCCACCCACCCATACATCCATCCATCCATCCATCCACCCACCCATCCATCCTCTCAGAGCCAAGGCGGACAGCACAGCAGCACTGAAGATATCTGCTCACTGCTGAACAAACCCCACATTCAGCCCTAAACTGCAGCTCTGGGTCTCAGGAGCATCTGGTGTGCTCTAGCAGGAGTTCTAGTCCACCCACCTGGCTATAAAAGCACACCTGTGTGTACCTGCAGGTGTGTAAGATACACGCTTATCTGGATTCCCACCTCGTTGCGGCTGTGGATCATTCACTGCTTTCTTTACCCGGGGCAAGGCTGGACATGCATGCACTCAGGAAGTGCTCAGGGTATGCAAACAGCTTTCTGAGTACAGCTCAGAGGGGCTGCCAGACAGTAAGAACTCACACAGAGTTTCTTTAACACTGTAATAACCCGCCAGTATTTCAAAATTGAGTGACTTCACATAAAATCTGAATCCCCACGGCTTTTCTTCAATGCTGCAAGCCATGTAATGACACGGAACCCCCGCACTTCTGCACAACAGCCTCTTCTGGAGCGGAGGGAGAAATGCTTGCTCCAGCTTTCCATAGACTTCCTTGCTGCACACCGTGGCCTGACGCCGCGGTACTGCGCAGGCGGCTTCTAACCACAGGAGCTCCTTCACCCTTGATGCCTCCCTCCCAGGCAAGCCGTGCAGGATTTATTTTACGTTTCTGGCAGCAATGCCCAGCCCTGGGCTGTCCTAGCCTCCTTCCTTCTCCTCCCAACACTACTTAAGCTTTCTTGAGAGTGAGTTTCCTTCCCTCTCTTACACTGTTCCATTCTGGAATGAGTCTCGGGAGACGCCAGCCTGTAACTCTGCCCTGCCCTGTCATCAAGCTTGCTGGCTTCTTTTCAACACCATTCAAAGCTGGCCAACCAATCACACTTCAGAAGACTCCACAAGCTACCCAATGACGGGGCAGCTGCGAGCCAACCAATCACACTTCGGAAGAATCCCCAAGCTACCCAATGACAGGGCAGCTGTCCTTAAACCAACAAGAAACCACGAGACATAGATAAACTAATTAACATGCTAGAAAAATAAAGACAGAAGCCCAAGAGAGCCTACTGCAACAAGACTTAAAGAGAAACATTTACAGAAAGGAGGCCCGGGCAAGTGGCGGTGTTCTTACAGGCCACCTTCGCTCCCCACCTGGACTTCCTCTGTGCGCGTGGAGTCATTTGCCAACAGGGGCTCCCCAGTGGGAGCTTGGATGGTGACAGATTTTTCTGACCCCCTGCCATCTTTATTCCGGGGTGATTTGTGTCTCTCTCTGGTTCTCTCTCTGAAAAAAAAAAAAAAAAGAAGAAGATAGGATATATTTATGCCATGTGAATATGTAACTCTGATTTAGCAAATTATGTTATAAATTTCACTGTGAATTAAAAAACATTCTACACACACATATGAGTGCGTGCATACACACACACACACACACACAGAGAACACCAATATCTACACATCCCACCCTCCTGCAAGGAGTAAATGATTTTTATTCCCTACTCAATATTTTCTGCCCTTCTAAGGCGCACAATCAAGGCTGTCACTGGGCTTCTATCAGCAGTGACTATATTTTTTCAAAGTGTAAAATTTTAATTTTAGAATTTGTATAGCTAAGGCACATTTTATTGTAATAGTTATGGTCTTGATTTGGTTATATTTGCCTAAATTAATTCACTCCCTAAATGGCCACAACAGCTAGCAGTGGGCCAGGCAGAAACCAGGAGGCAGGAACTCCATCCAGATCTCCCATTTAGGTGGCAGGGACCCAAGTACCTGGGCCATCCCCTGCTGCCTTCCTAGGCAGGAGCTGGATCAGAAGAGGAGCAGCCGGGACCTGAACTGATGCTCCAATATGGGATGCCTGCCAGCGTTGTAGTGGAGGCTTACCTGATGTGCCATGACTGGCCTCTCTAGGGTTTTGTACTTTAAATAAAAATAAAATAAAGAAAGATTTATTTGATTAATTTGAAAGGCAAATCAACAGAGAGAGAGGGAGAGACAGAGAGAGAAAGAGATCTTCCATCCACTGGCTCACTCCCTAAATGGCTGGGGCTGGGCCAGACTGAAGCCAGGAGCTAGGAACCCCATCCTGGCCTCCCACATGGGTGGCAGGGACCCAAGTACTTGGGCCATCCTCTGCTGCCTTCCCAGATGTATTAGCAGGAAGCTGGATTGGAAGTGGAGCAGCTGGGACTCGACCCAACACTCTGATACGTGATGCCAAATGCCAGCACTGCAGGTGACAGCTTAACCTGCTGCACCACAACGCCTGGGGCTTTTTAAAATCAGGACAATACTGCAGAATATCTAAGTGTCGGTCTGGCCAAAAAAAAAAAAAAAAAAATCTGGGACACACTGTCACTCTAAACCTTCGGACTAGAAGAGAAGAAAGGAAATTCTAAACCAGTCCAGAGATCCATTTACTTCTTATTCTCACAATTCAAAATGAAAAGTCATTCCCACAAGTTCCAGCTGAGCTCGCAGACAGCCACGGAAACAAACAAAACCAGGACAGATGACAGCAAGAGGTGTGAAGATGTGTGTTTGTGGGGGTTTCTCCTAAGCAAAGCAGCCTGGGGCATCACTTTAATCCCATGCACCTTCTGGGTGGTCTTCCAGGGTGACTGGAGGACAGCCTGCTACCAATCAATCAGAAAACTACAAAAGGAAACAGTTTGCATGGACTGGTCAATAACCCTTGTAGATGGAAACTGACACTCCCACCTGCAGCTGGGAGGGAACCCGAGGCCCCACCAAAGAAGCCCCTTATTGTCAGCAGTCATTAAGTTCCCTCACCTCTTGGCTCCCAAAGACCACCATGACATCAGTCCTCCTCCACCGCTCGCACTCCCTTGAAAAGTCTTGCAGACAGGAGTGAAGAAGCATTGCACACGCAGATTTCGGAGACAAACAGATCTTCTAGATGTGTGACTGCACAAGCCATTCAGTCTCCTTATGCGTGAAATACCATGTGGGCAATGTGCTCAGTGCAGGCGCGTGGGCTCAGTGCTCAGTGCTCAGTAGCTGTTACCACTATCCCTGCTATTAGCACTTGCCCATGGCACAGCACTTGTCAGACTTCTACCTTATCAATACCTCCTTAGGATCAGCACTGGTTAATTACTTCAAAGAGCCAAGAGGCTAAGCTACCACAGGCTGCAGATAACCTCCAGTGACACCAGCTTTGTCCCTAGAGCCTCACTTATCACTCCAACTCATCGCTAAGTTAGAATGTAGAAACAGATGCAATCTGGTCAGCCTAGGTGTTTTGTTTTAAACAGACAACTAGGGAAAGAGCCCATGGACAGAGAACTGTTCTGTTTACCCACAGATGTGCCCAGCAACACCAACTGCCTGCTCCAATGCATGAGACACTGAGCAAAGTGCCTCCCTAGACTCACTTCACTCAATCCTAACAACAACCTTAAAGGGTCAATAGTGTTTTCCCATTTTACAGATGGGGAAACCGAGGTTCGCAGAGTTTCTATGACTTTCCAAAGTTACAGTAAATGGCAGAGTAGGAGATACGACCTCCATTCAAGACCACTATGCTGCATGCACTATTCTGAAAAGCAACTGGAATATCAGATGGCAGAAGTACTCCTGATGCTGGTCTTCACATCCTTACACTGGACAAACTAGCAGAGCTACGAGGCATTTCTCTGAAGCTACTGGGAAGAGGAACAGCTGGACTGTGACCTTAGCTGGCCCTGGGCTGTGTGCTTACAATCCCTTCAAAAGCCACTCACTGGGAGGAGCAATCCCCACGTGTGGGAGAGACAGGTGAAGCCTAGGATGACTGCTCCACCCCCAGACCCACCATGGCCAGCGGGGCCAGGGCCCCCTTTCCATTTTCTGTTTCCACTCTCCCCAAGTACAGTCATAGCCATTTCTCTCCAGGCCATCAGCCAGGTCCCATGCTCACCTAACCCACCCATCTATCCACTGGTCCCGTGGGGCAGATCCTGTGACAGCACAAATTCCAGTGGAAATCAAAATTCCTTCACCGAGAGCCAATGCCCGGAGCCCGAACAGGGCACCCCGCTGTGTGCAGAGGAACCACCTGGCCTGCAGATCCACTGGATCCATGCTCCAAGAATGCGTCTGCAAGAGAGAGCCTCTCTCTTCACCAGCAGCCCAGGGGACCTGGATGTTGGTGGCACAGGAAGCTTTCTCCAGGACTTTCTGACCCAGTGCTCCCGGGGAGGGGTCTGCTGGAAGGACTGCTTAGAAGTCTGCCTTTGCATGAGACGCCCTGGACACAGCAGCAGCTCAGGAATGGGACCCTTAAGTTCATGTTCAGCTGTTCGATGTGGCAATGTACAGTGCTTCTCTGTTAAGAGAGAAATAAGCGGATGCAGTTGGGAGAATGGCTCTGGGCAACATGGACAACAGTGACTGAGGGATGCCCAGAGCTGACACCTGCCCTTCCACCCACTGTCAGGTGAGAGGCAGGTGGAAACCCCATCCTCCTGACTCACACCAGCTGGGGGCACTGCTCTGTGCACCGGTCCTGTCATCAAGACCTGACATGCAGGCCTGGAGTTGTGGCGTAGCTGATAAAGCCCCCACCTGCAACACTGGCAGGCTATGCATGCACCAGTTTGTGTCATTTCTGATCCAGCTCCCTGCTAATGGCCTGGGGAAGGGAGGGGAAGGGAAGATGGCCCTGTGTTTTGTCCTCTTCGTGTGCTGTCCACGTGGGAGATCCCAATGAAGCTCCCAGCTCCTGGCTTCAGTCTGGCTGTTGCAGCCACCTGGGGAGTGAACCAGCAGATGGAATCTCTCTCTCTCTCTCACTGTCTCTCCCTCTCTCTGTGTAACTCTTTCATATAAATAAATAAATATTTAAAAAAAAACAACACCTAACATGTAGCTTTTATAGAAATTACTGGTCCTGGATTACAGCTCTGGGAAGACCTTGGAGCCAAGCCAGGACTTAACACTGATACCCCACAACACTGCCGTTCAGGGCTCGTCAGTGTGTAGCACTATGAGTGGCATGTGGCCAGCTCACTGCACTGTGTGTGCACCCAGACGTTCAACCCTGTGGCTCCGGAGGCTGTAACTTGCAGAGGCGGTCCCATGGAGGAGACCAGCCGTGCACATGGCCTATCTGGACATAGGAGAGCAGGGAAGGAACAGGCTGTAAACCACTGGGATGGGAGTTAAAACACACGCACAGCGACATGGTGTTCCAGCGCCACCTGTGCGATCTGGATCACCCGTGTGTCTCTGCTGGGCAGCTGGCTCAGTCCCCGCGATCTTGGTATCTTTATGTCTGAATCTGCCCATCTGTTAAGTATATTTGTACATGTGCAATTTGTGCACACAGAGATACATGTATTTGCGCATGTGTGCAGGGGGGTGGCAAAAGCAAGCATCACTGTGCAGGAGTGTGCGTGTGTGTGTGTGTGTGTGTGTAAGTGCAGCAGTGTAAGCCACCATGGAGCCGCACCCCTGGGGCTGCTGTGAACACCATCCCCCTCCTCGCAGCCGGGATCCCTGTGATTCCCACAGTGCTGCCGGTTCCAGCCAGCATTTCCTGGGAAGACTGTTGAGTCCTGTTTCTGCTGCTGGTCTATTTCTATTTGGGGAAAGCTGGCCCCACCGGTTACTCCTCCCTTTCCTTCTCTGCCACCACCCACTACCTGTCCTTTCTCTGCCCTGCTGGGGCCTGGCTGGCTGCTCCCTCTCCACCCTGGCTGTGGTGGTGGTGGGGGGGGGGGGGAGGCTGGGAGCAGGGCCCACTGATGCCGAAGCAGCCTCCCTGGCCCAGGCTGCCCTTTTTTGGACAATGCTAATTTTTAGCACACTGGCCACAGGGGGACCCTTCATCTCTCTTTCAAAAGGGGCATTTCCCTTCCAAAGAGCAACAAGTCTGCTCTGAAACCTGAGCAGAGCACCTTGGCACTAACTTCGGGCCAACAGCATTGCCTCTGCGAGCCTCAGTTTCATCGCCTGTAAAATGGGGCTACCACCTCCACTCCAGCACTGCTGTGAGGATGAAAGGGAACGCCCAGGAGAGGCCTAAAAGGCACCCAGGAAGCGGTCATTAACACTCCTGGCAGCTGTAGTCATTAAATCAGGAAACGTGCACACCGAACACAAAGGTCAGGTGAGGGCGGCTGGAGTGCGCACCACTTTCCCAGCCAGTTCACCTGATGCCCTCTGGAGACTGCAGGCAGCGGGAACCAGGCCACTGACCTCCTGGCATGAAAAGAGTCACCTGCCACCTGCCTGGACGCCGGCCAGGCCAGCCCTCAGGATGATCACCGCGTCATCGGGTGTATCAAGTTTGGTGCCCTTTGTTATTCCGGCACACTAACATCTCCCGAAGCCAGTCCCCCTGCCGCTTTCCTACACTCCCATTCAAATCCTCGAGCAGGGCAGCTTTCACCAGGACCCTCCTGGGGCAGCAGGCCCTTGGCTGGGTCTGAGGCCGGCTCCCAGGCCCTGCACAAATGCTGCTAAGCATTCTTCCCTCCTCAGCAAACCCTGCCTACAGATTACAACTACGCCCGCCACTGCCTTCAGACTCACCTGTGGGCAATGACGTCCTTTCTAAAGAACTCACAGAACGTGCCCACCGACGCCTCATGCTCAGATCCCCTCGCTCAGAGCTCTGGAACATTCCTGGAATAACTGATTTAGCATCACAGCCTGTGTTAACATGTGCCAAGTGCTTCCCACACGGGTCCTAGAAGGCGCTAGGAGCTCTGCACTGTGTTTTAATGCGAAGTCACAGCCTCTTAAAGTGACCCCGGGAGCCCTCGGAGGCCTGAGGCAGCAGCAGGGCCTGGCACAGGCTGCCCCTGGGCAGGCGGGGCCTGAGAGGCGGCTCCAGCTCGGGATCCTGCAGGCCACCCTCCTCTCTTCACCGAGCACCAGCATGGCCCAGGCCCTGTGCTGCGCAAGACGGAGGCCTCCCATGCCGGCCTGGGAACTGGTTTCCCAGGAAGGTCCACAGGTTGACTGTGGTCAAACAGCCGTTTCCAGCATTTTCCAAGGCATTGGGTGTGTGCACTCGCAGGCTGAGTCTGTGCTGACTCCCCCAGGCTCGGGCTCTGGCCTGGGACTCAAGGTCCCCCCAGCAGCACCCTCACCTGAGCACCTGCTCTTTCCCTCCCTGGTTATAGGGGCTCATCTGGGATCCAACACAAACTCACTGACTGCCTTCCTCCCAGCTGTTATGACTTTATGAACAAGAGTTGGTCATCTGCATTCAGAGACAGCCATGGTCCCTATGCAAACACGTACCTTACTGTGTACAGGGGTAGCTGTTATAAAGGCACCAGGTCTTCAATCTCGTTTTTGTAACAAGGGCTCGTCAACACTTTCTCGTGTCATTATGTGTCTTTGAGAATTTTTTTCTTTACATCTCTCATTCCATTTTTTCAGGAAATTACAGAATGTACATCTGTAAAAACCTCAGCGAGCGCAGTCACCATCCCAGGCTGAGCTCCTGCCCAGCAGAAGACCCAGCCTGGCACTTGGGGTCCCATTTCCAGACCTCCTGCTATGCATGGGCGTCCAACCAGTTACCCACATCTGCAGTGAGCTTTTGCAAAACAAAATCTCCCCTCCCCCCCAGCATTCAGCCACCACTGCTGTCCCCACTGCTGTTCCCCCCCTCCCCGTGCCCGTCGGGGAGGGGCTGTGATGACAAGTGGGCCTTCTCTGCAGACATGGGGAGATGCCAAGGCTGTGTACCAAATGGCTCTGTTAACTAGTCCATTCAACCTTCAACCATCCGCAAGGAGGGGACTGCTGTACCCACTTCACAGATGAGGAAATCAGGCAGGCGCACCAGTCGCCTGCCACCTACCGCCCCTTCTTTCTTTACGCATTCGCTGGCTCCTCTCAGCACAGCAGGCCCTCTGCACACCAGTGCACACCTGCTCTTTCTGGTTACCTTTGCCCAGAAGAGCATTTGCAAAACGCAGACTTGTTCCCTTGGTAGACAAGTCTGGGAGAAACAGGCGCCAGGCCAACCCCTCCAATCCCCCAGGCCCTGTGTGAGACTCACTGCAGATTCCTAAGGGACAGCCAGAATCAGCTGCTCTGGCTGAAAAGTAGCAAATTAACACTTAAAAAAAAAAAAAAAACTTTCATTAGCATTCTTTTCAAAGCTTTGAGAGAAAGGAAGAGCCATTTCCACTGCGGGGAGCTTTCCTCTAAAACCAATTGTGAGGAATGACCGCCATGAGCACTAATGGGGGCTATAAAAGGTGAACTGGTCCTGTAGGTTCCTCCCACGCAGGCTCCAGGCTCTCAGCGCTGGCTTCTCCTCTCCAGCCCCACCAGCCCCAAGTCATTGTTTGAAGAGTGACTCCAGAAACCCCCAGCGGCCTGCAGCCTTCCCCAGGAGGAAGAGTGACATACCCCTGTCTGTGAGATTTTTTCGAATGACTGGAATAGTAAGAATATCCAGAATAAGTGGATTCGGTATCCATAGCAGTGCAGAGCCGGCTCTTGATGAGGAAGCAGGTAGAGAATCGCACCTGGCGGAGTCTGGGAGTCGGAGGCCAGCCACTCTTCAATAGCAGTCAGTTCTGGGGAGAGGGAGAAAGACAGACGTGAGTCTCCACAGAGAGCAACCTGCTCCTCTCTGGGGTCTCCACGATGAGACAGGTGATCAAAAGTCAAGTGCTGCATTCTAAATCCTCCACCCAGGCGGCAACAGGATTCCTGGGACGGGTCGGGGGAGGGGACAGCACAGGTGCCCAGGGAGCAGAATCCCATGAAAGGGGCCCACCTGCTGCACACAGCCTCACTCTCCCTGGAGCTGGCCACTGGGCCGCGTGTCCCACACCAGCCCCGCCATGCGGTGCCCAGCCCCCACTGCCAGTTTGCTGGTCACATCTAAACACCACGCAGCGAAGTAGCTTTTAAGGGATTTGGGCTTTAAAAAGAAAAATGATTATTACCACATCATCTACAATAATAAAAAGGTAGAAATCATCTTAATAACCCCCCCACACACACACACACACAAAGGAACAGGCAAAGAAACACGGTTCACTCATTGAAAGCAATATCAGATCTCTGTCGCGGGTGCTAATGATAAAGAATAGAAGCACTTGTGCTGTAACAATAAATAACAGTAAACTTAAAAAAAGCAAGACCCAGGCTCACAGACACACTGAATCTACGTGACATTTGGAATCACAGAAAATTGCTTATGGCAGGACAAGGAGCAAAAGGAGACACCAGAAAATGCAAGCAGGTGACTCGCCTGTGGCAAGCTCCCAGTCTTTCCTGGCGTGTTCATTGGATATTGCTTCGCAATGCACTCAGCTGGCAACCTTTCCAAGGACATTCCTGAGCTCCCCCATCCTAAGCCTTTAACTTCTAGAAACCGAGATCCACCAGTTCTGCCCTTCCCTGGATCCTGGTCTCAGAGCCCCACCCCCACCCCCCACCCCCGCACGGCAGGGGTCCTGCTTCCAGCCCCCCTCCCAGCTGAAACTGCAAACAGCACCAGGGAGAGAAGTGTGAAGAAAACACAAAGGAACTGTAAATGCCTTCCTTACCCCCCGCCAGGAGGCGGCCCGGCTTCCAGACCCCGGCAACAATGCGCGAGAGGCCAGAGGGCAGGAATCGGGCTAGCCAGTCACCACCCACCCTCACAGCCCCAGAGCCTCAAAGGCCCCGGGCCCATTCACTCTGAAAGTAAGAGGCCTTCACAGCCAAGGTCTGCCACCCAGGGCGTGTCCCCGCGGTCCTGACTCAGCCCAGCACTTCCCTGCCAACAAGAGCCCAAGTGCAGCCGCTGTCTACACAACCTGGGATAAAGTACTAACTTTTTCCTTTTTTTCTTTTTTTTTTTTTTTAAAGATTTTATTTATTTGAAAGGCAGAGTTTGAGAGTTCGAGAGAGAGAGAGGGGCAAGGAGAGACAGACATCTGTTGGTTCCTTCCCCAAATGGCTGCAGAGGCTGGGGCTGGGTCAGGCCAAAGCCAGGAACCTGGAACTCCATCCAGCCTAAGCACCTGGGTCATTTTCAACTGCTTTTCCCAGGAGTATCAGCAGGGAGCTGGATCGGAAGCAGAGCATTGGGGACTTGACCCAGCACCCATACGGGATGTGGGGATCAGACAGCAGCTTAACCTGCTTTGCCACAGCACTGGTCCCACGGCGCTTGCCTTCTTAAACTCCCTCCTCCATCTGCCTCTGTTAAATGGGCACAAATCACAGGGTTGCTGTGGCGAAAGAAGCAGATAGCGCATCCCGAGCCAGGTTCCCATTCTAGACCTGACTCACTTCCCAGCCGTGGGACCTCAGCCATGCTATTAGAACTCTTTCAACGTCCATCTGTAAAACACAATTGGCCCAGCGGGCTAAGGGCTGTGACAGTAGCCAGCACGGACTCCAGACGCGCTGGGTGAATGAAGGCTGGTATGGCCATCCGCACCCCTGACGCCGGTTCCCAAAGCCCCGTGATGGCCTGGTCTTTCTCAGCAGGAGAGGACTTTCAGAAAGGAGCGTGGCAGCCCGCCAGCAATGTCGCCCGCCTTCCCCGGGCGAGGCTCGTCTGCTGTCAGCACACGTGGGCTGGCCCCTCCATCCACCACTTACTCACCAACGGTGACCCGGGCAAGGCAGCGCGTCCTTGGGCAGTGCCTCCTTGGGGTCTCCGTTTTCTGACCCACGAAAAGGAACTACGGCAGCCTACTTGGCAGGGAGCGGATGGAAAGGTTCAGTGTGAAAACACACGGAGAGGTTGTTTTTAAGAAAAAGTTTGGCCTCTGCAGTACCCCCCCCCCCCCCCCCCACTTTCCTAGAAGGCCTGGAGAGCTGGATCACCGTGGCCCTCCCTCCCCGGTCTCCCATCACTGTGGTCCTCCCTTCCTGGTCTCCCATCATCGTGGTCCTCCCTCCCCATCTCCCATCACCGTGGCCCTCCCTCCCCGGTCTCCCATCTCCATGGTCCTCCCTCCCCAGTCTCCCATCTCCGTGGCCCTCCCTCCCCGGTCTCCCATCATCGTGGTCCTCCCTCCCTGGTCTCCGATCTCCGTGGCCCTCCCTCCCTGGTCTCCCATCTCCGTGGTCCTCCCTCCTGGTCTCCCATCTCCGTGGTCCTCCCTCCCCGGTCTCCCATCTCTGTGGCCCTCCCTCCCTGGTCTCCCATCATCGTGGTCCTTCCTCCCCATCTCCCATCTCCGTGGTCCTCCCTCCTGGTCTCCGATCTCCGTGGCCCTCCCTCCCCGGTCTCCCATCTCCATGGTCCTCCCTCCTGGTCTCCCATCTCCGTGGTCCTCCCTCCCCATCTCCCATCTCCGTGGTCCTCCCTCCTGGTCTCCCATCTCCGTGGTCCTCCCTCCCCGGTCTCCCATCATCGTGGTCCTCCCTCCCCGTCTCCCATCTCCGTGGTCCTCCCTCCTGGTCTCCCATCTCCGTGGCCCTCCCTCCCTGGTCTCCCATCATCATGGTCCTCCCTCCCCGGTCTCCCATCTCCGTGGTCCTCCCTCCCTGTCTCCCATCTCCGTGGTCCTCCCTCCCGGTCTCCCATCTCCGTGGTCCTCCCTCCCCGGTCTCCCATCTCCGTGGCCCTCCCTCCCCGGTCTCCCATCATCGTGGTCCTCCCTCCCCGTCTCCCATCTCCGTGGCCCTCCCTCCCCGGTCTCCCATCCATCTCCGTGGCCCTCCCTCCCCGGTCTCCGGTCATTCTCCGGGTTCTGGCAATTGCAGTTTGCTTTCAGGTTTCATTGCCCTCCAGGCTGGGCTGCTTCCTCCGCCCCTCCTGACCCAGCAGACGCCAGCACCCGCCAGCCCTGTCCCACCTGCTTTTCCCTGTCTAACCACAGATGCTAACGGCAGCCCCATCTGCCCAGGAAATGGCTCGTGAACCCTTCCAGACTCCTACATCTTTTTCTGCTTCCCAACGCAGAACTCTCCACCAGCCGTTCTGTCCAGACTGTGATCTCACGCTAAATGCTGCTGGGGTCTCAGGCAGGCGGGCCCGGCCCCCCCAGAGCTGGGCTGACCCTAACATGGCCTCCTGGGGAAGAGGCCCCCCCCCAGCTTCTATGCTCTCCGCCCCCTATAAAATAAGGTCATGTTAATATTATCTCTTCCTGGTGCTGTTGTGAGGATTAAATGAGACTCCTGACATGAAGTCCGGGCAGGTGGTGACCCACATTTCATCCCCTGCCCCCTGGGCCAGAGGGTGTCACTCTGTGTCACCCTGGAAACCTTACCGTCCATTAAGGCCATGTCCCTCAAAGGAAAGCAGTGCTCCCCGCTGTCCTCTGGTAAGGCTTCCCTTGCACCACCAATGCCCCTGTCCAGTTCCTCTCCCACAATGCCCGATTTGACTCAGCCCACGCCCTCCATCCTCAACACCCCACTGACACACCAAAGCTGGCCAGAGGTAGTTGTGAGCCAAATTCCAAAGATCACATCACCTCCAGCTCAGGATCCACTCAGGCACCGCGGTGTGTACCCAGCGGCTCTGCGAGTCCCTGCCCCACAGCACTGGGGTACCACTGCTGGCTGCCTCTAACACCGCATGCCCGCGCCTGACATTCAACACTCACCCCGCTAGTCTATTCAACACTCACCCCGCTAGTCTCGTCCACCCCGGGGCTGACCATGGGATAAGCTCCTCGGAGGCTGGTGGTCGGTACAATGCCCATCCCTGAGAGACTCTGATCACTGTAGGTGACCAGCAAACACTCACTGAGACCCAAATCCCCAGGGCACATTGCCTGCTCACACACCTCTTGCTCCCACTGGGAGGATCAGCACCTCTCTACCCTCTTTGGATTTCCTGGCCCATTCTTTACTACGCTGCAGCGATGCTATCATCCTGCTGAAGATGCCTCCCCCTGTGTCAGTTTCAATATTCCTTTTGCCCCTCGTGCCACACATCAGACCATCACTAAGCTCTGCCTGTCCTGGAGGCAGCTCCCCTTACTCTCCCAGATCCCAGTCACCCTCTCCCTCCACTGCATGACAATGCCTCCAGGTTTCCTCCCTTCTCTTAGCTGCACAGAGCTCAGGCCCCTTCTCCCACGCCTATCTTATCCAAGATCTGAGCCAGGAGGAAAGAGAAGCAATAGGAGGCAAACGGACTCATCTTTTTAAAGGACAGTTTGAGCCAAGGTAAGAACTCCTGTGGAAGTAACAGACAGCACTGCAGAAGTTCACCACTGCAGTGATAATTTATGAGCTACTTCCCCTGTGTGCCCGAGAAACTCACAGAACTCCTGATAAGGTCCTAAGGGCTGCCTTATCAGGAAAGCAATAAAGTCCTGAAAAGAAATCAAGTTCCTGGAGTAATTAACTGATAGGCTGCTGCCCTGGCCTGAGCCAGATGCAGTCACACAAGCATAGAGATGGAGCTCAGAGTATGGAACTCACTCCATCACACGAAGCCCCGACATGACCCTGCCGGGCTACCGCAGGCTGGCCAGCAGCCAGCAAGGCCTTGGAGATGACAATGCAGATGCCGCTGGCTTCCCTGCTTCAAACCCTCCCCTGGTGTCCTTGCTGCACTTTGAATGAAACACAGAGGCTTTTCTGCCCCCGACTCGGGCTCCCTCTTGCTTCTCAAGGTGTAGGGCTCTGCCAGGGCGCGTGCACCAGTGCAGCTGCTGGCCCTCGCCCCTCCAGTGACCTCTCTCTCCCCTTTGCCTTTCTAGACCCTGCAGCCTGGAGCGGCCCTGCCCAGCACCCCGTCCTCTTCCTATCACACTTTCCAGTTCTACACTGATGTGCCTGCCGGCTTACTGCACAGCTGGCTCCTGGACACATTGCCAGCTCCACGAGGGCAGGGCCACTTTTCTTCCCCTGTTTCTCCAGCGCCGGGACCAGGATGGGCTCCCAATAATTATCTGTTGAATGAAGGGTTGGCAGGCATAGGTTCACCACGGATGACCTACTTTAAATCCCTAGTCTCACAGGCGAAAAGAGAGACCTGAGTGTCCCTTTGGCCACTGCCCCTTCCTCCGTCACTGTCACTAGCCCCTTAAAAGCTGCAGCACTGCTTGGTGGGGGCTGGAGGCAAACACTGGGACAGGGTCAGAGCTCCCCAAAGCTCACTGCATGAGAGCGAGAAGACATGTGTGCAGGCTACTTTATCCTGAGTGGTGGCGGCATCATAGATTCAAATGTCATAAAGAACCTCCTTTGTCAACCTTTATTAAAAGCCAAGGGCAGAGCAGCAGCCTCAAATAAAATCCTCCCCTGAAGCCCCGTTTACTCCTATAATATATCGGACTACTACTACTTAAATGGAAAACACGGCGTTAAGAAAATCATATGAGAGAAATAATACGTTCTGGTAATGACAGTGGTCAATACACGCCGAAAAGGGAAATGATAAAAGCATCAACAGTTCTGCCCAGAGCTATCGAAAGGAGCTCTGGTTTGGGGGTGGCAAAGACGCCCCTGAATTTGAGGAGCCATTTGTCCCTCTGCAGTGGACACATTTCCAAGGGAGCATGGCATGTGGTGCGCTGGTGTCTCTGTACATCATGGAGGCTCCTTTGAATACTGAGCTTCATCACCTACAGAAGTCTAAAGAGTTCAGTCCACTAATGATTACTGACACCTCTTGCAGCTGACATGTTTCTCCAGACACATATCTTAATTAGACGGTACTCAAGGACGCACAACTACTGGAGGAATTTTGTTGAGGGTCTACTTTCCCTGCAGCGAGGAAGGGCAATGAGCCCAGGTCCTGGAATTAAGACCGTTCACATCCTGGCTACTGTCCCTAGCAGCTGTGTTGTTCAACGTGCCTCAGTTTCCATAGCGGGAATGACAGAATTACATTTCACTCATGTCATGGTCCTGTGCTGGGTGCTGAATGAGAAAATTCACAGAAGCATTCAGAACAAAGCCTAGTGTGGGGTAAGCGCTCACAACCATCAGTTGTGATTATGACTTAGGTCAGCACCATTCCTCTGGTTAGGGAGGCTGTTTTCGCCTGGGGTATGGCCCGTGTCTCCTTTACACGATGTGTACTGACTTTTCGTGCACTGCACTGGTCTATGCTAGCTCACCTGTAACAATTACCATCAGTCACTGTAGAGAAGTCATTTGGGAATTCCCATTCTGTGCCCTGCCGTCCTCCATTTCCCATTCCCCAAGGGTAGAAGGGGATGCTGAGAAATGGACCAGAACACACGTGCCTCGAGGGTTCACCTGCAGGGCTGCGGGACTGCAAGGGAGGGTATGCAAACCACAGCGCCCCCTCCAGCTCCCCTAAGTGAGCGTCCACAGGGCTTGAGGCACAAAGCAAACCAATGACTCTCTCATTGCAACGGAGCCCTAATACATGAGCGATTCTGGGTCACTGGTCACAAAGAAGGAAAACGTCGACCTCGCTTTTCCTGCCTTGCCAATCAGTGCAGCCCACCTTCCCAGAATCCCTGTTCTCGTCGGCTCAGGATCCCTCACTGTCTGAAACCGCCCCAGCTGGGTCCAGATCTCCGAAGAGCTGGGAATGGTGAGCATGTCTTGGTGTGTATTTGCTTTTGGGCGACGCCTTTGTCCCCTGCTAGATGCTTAAACTTCAGGAAAAGAGATCTCATGAGCGTTAACTTCCACTGCAAATCCTGTGGTGCTGGGTTCAACTGAGTGCTGTCCATGAAATGGGATACAGAAGGACACGCGTGGGGACAGACAACAGACCCTGCGGGCACCTTTCTCTTAAGGCTTCAGTAACATACTCCAGCTAGCACACCCTGGAAACACAGCTAACTCTGTCCACGTTATGGAAAAGGGCACAGCACCTTGCCCAAATCGCATGCCACATACAGCTAGCCCTGACCACAGCTGGTTTGTTGTACAGAGAGATGATGGCAGGCCCAGTCCAACAGCCGCCTGACACCAAGTGCTTATTGTGTGTGAGGCCCTGTTATAAGTCATCTGCCTAAAATATTCAAATTCTCACAACAAGACCTTCAGGGAAATAAAATATGAATTTCGTGTTGCAGTTAAAGAAACTAAAGTCACAAACTTGGTCAATGCTGGAGCTTGGAGAGCTGGCGCTGTGGCTCAGCAGGTTAAGCCGCCGCCTGCAGCACCAGCCCATCCAGCTCCCTGCTAATGTGCCTAGGAAAGCAGTGGAGGGTGGTCCAAGTGCTTGCGCTCCTGCACTGTGTGGGAGACCCAGATGAAGCTCCCAGCTCCTGGCTTCAGCCTGGCCCAGCCCTGGTCACTGCAGTCATCTGGGAGTGAACCAGTGGACAGAAGACCTCTCTCTGTCTCTGTCTCTCCTTCTCCCTCTGTATCTTTTCCAAATAAATAAATAAATCTTCAAAAGAAAAGAAAGTTGGAGCCAGGGCTTCAACTTTGAGAGACTAACTCCAGACCCTGTGTTCTCAACTATGGAAGATTTATAGCACTATAGCAATTCCCAGAATTGTTTATTTACATAGAGGAGGGCAGGCAACAATCATAAACTGCCCCCAAACTACACATAACCCTTCAGTGAATTTTGCGACAGGCTCAACATCCCAAGCATCTAATTCACAGGAGCTCAAGGTCGAAAGGATTTAAAGCAGAGTATGATATGGGCCCATCCAGCCCAAAGGGCCACGCAAGTCCAGGGCAGCCAGCAGCACGAGATGTGTGTGTGTGTGTGTGTGTGTGTGTGTTGCAGGGATAAAGAGGGAGGATACCTTCTTCACTCAACACTCATTCACTCTTCAGCAGACAAGTGTGATATGGAATTGTTGCTTGCTAAGGAAATTTTAAATTTCCTTTATGGTTTCATCCTGTTGCTCAATACATAAGACAATAAAAACGCACAGCTTGGCAAGCAGCCTTTACAAATATGCCACTCTCGAAATTCTTCTCAGGCTTTCCCCAACAAACTGCAACCAAGCTGCAACCAAGTCACACTGAAAACACTCAAAGCGAGAGACACCAACCTTTCGGAGACGTTAAATGCCCACAGAGAGATGAAGTGTGACATTTCTTTGAACTGTCAAATAAAACAGTTTCCTCCCACAAATCAAAGCCCCAACTGTATCACACTGATTTAACCCAACTTTAAAAACTCTAATTAGTGGTTACATAAAATGGCTAATTACGTCTCCCGGATTCAGACCGGTTTCTGCCATCTCACTTAAAGGGCCTGGGAGCTGTGTAATCACACAACCCACCCACTGGAAGGAAAATGCTAATTAGCCTTGTCGAGGGGGCGACCCAAGTTATAATATTTTTCAGCAGCCCTGTAAAATTTATAAACATGTCAGTGAAAACACCAGATTCTTTCCAGCTTGCCAGCTTTCGGAAGAAGTGTCTAAAAATACAAGCATTTCAAGCCCCAGCCCCCCCCCCACACACACACACATACACAAAAGGGTTTTTAACAAAATGCACGTGCCAGCCGCATACTCATCACACCTCCAGCACGAGCAGCGGCAGGGGCTCCCGGCACCTGGGCGGCGTGGCCACGATACCTGCTTTGGAGCTGGGAACCCAGAGCGCCGGATTTTCTGGGCTCCTAGTCCCTGCGGCTCCGCCCACTCCTGCCGCTGCAGCCGCCACCGACGCGTTTAAATTTTTATAAAGCTTCACACTTCTCCGCGCGCGTTGCTTGGGGGCAGTTCAAAGGCTGCAGGAGGACAGGCGGTAGCGCGGGTGCAGAAGGCAGCCCCGGCGCGGCGAGACAGCCTCCAGCCCGGACACCTCGGGCGGAGTCGCCGGCCGCCGGCGCTCCACCCCGGCGTTTTTAAAAGTAAACTCCTACCTGCCTGTTGCGCTCTCCCAAGCGCAACCGGACTCGTCCCCCTCCCCCGGGCCTCCCGGGCCGGCTCAGTGCTGGGAGCGAGGTGTGAACACAAGCCAGCTCTGTCCCGGAGCCTGGCGAGGGGCCAGACGGCCCCCGGTGGAGCCCCGCGGTGGGGTGGGAACCACGGCGTGCGCCCGGCTCCGGGGAGCGCAGGGCACAGCCGGCCGGCCTCAGCCAGCCACCACCGATCCGGACGCCCGGTGCCTCCACCAACGCCCGGCCACTCCCTGCCGGCCGGCCGGCCCGACACGCGCACCCCCAAAGGCGAGCCAGGGGAGAAAGGGGCGTCCGACGCGTGGGCTGGGAACCCCGGGAGCCGAGGGACTGGGGCGTGGCGGAGAGCGCGGGCAGGGGCAGGAGGGGCGCACCGCGCAGGGACGGCAGCGGAGTGGGGTCCCGGGAAGCAGGAGCCGGTGCGGTCCATAGGAGTCGCTGGGGGCTCCTGGCCAGAGGCTGGAGGCCCGCGAGTCGGGATCTAGGTCCAGGGGGTGGGAGTGCGGCGGAAGCGCGGGGGGCGCTTCCCCGCGGGAGGTCTGCGAGGGGCCCGGGCGGGACTCACCTCCGCGCCGGCCGGCCGGGCTCCGCCGGCCCGCGGTCTCGGCTCACGGCGGCCCGGCTCTGCGGCCTGCGCTGGGCTGGGCTGCTGTAGAAGCAGAGCCCCGCCGCCGCCGCCGCCGCTGCACTGCTGCTTTCCGCTTCCTGTCCCGGCGCCGCCCCGCAGCCCGAGCCCAGCCCTGCGAGCCCGGCGCGGCCGCGAGCCAAGAGCTGCGAGCGCTGCCAGCCCCGCCGCGGGCCCGGCCCACCTGCAGCGGAGGGCGGGGCGGCCGCAGCCCCCTCCCCGCAGTCAGACACAGGCAGAGGCGCGCGGTCACACCCGGTCACGCGGGCCAGGGAACTGACCCCCAGAGACACACCCACCCCCACACACTCGCTCACACCCGAACGCAGACTTGCTGCAGCAGCTTCCCTCCCTGGCACCCGCAACACATGGCAAACACGTGGTCAGGGATTGACACCGCCCCACACCCCTCCCTAGCGCCCCAGCTCGCTTTCACCCTTCAGCTTACGCGCACACACACAATTACGCACAAAATACGATGGCGTTTGCCCTCACCAGAGCCCCAGCCCAGATAGTCATACGGCTTAGGGATGGCCCTGGACCCATTCATTCTCTCCCCACCCCCCTCCCCGGGCCTGCCCTCACGTGCAACCCAAGAAATGGCCCGTGATAACCACATCCACCCACACCCCCACAAACCGCCACAGCCAGCCCTCCCTCCTCACCTAATAGAGCAGGTGCCTCCAAACCCTCCCCCAGCCTCCTAGAAACTGCTAGAAGAGCAAGTCTCTGAAGGCAGGTAGCCCAGAGGGGTGGTGCCGCCTCAGCCAGGTCCCTCTCTCAGCCTTTGTGCCCCACGGTTGCTAATGTCCATCTTGCAGCATTGTGGGGCGATTATGGGCGGAGGCAGTGTCCAGTAGGCAAGAATGCTTTGCAACTATTTTCATGAACATTTGTACTCCTCACAATGTACTTGTCTTGTGTTGCCAGGGTTACTGCCTTAAGAAGCCGCTCAAGTTGAGGATAGCTGACTTCCACTGCTCCCAGCCACCAGGCTCCACTGCCTGTCAGGCAGTCCCCACCATCTGCCTGTCATCCCTCCACTTCCCAGCGGGCTCCAGGGGGCAGCAGGTCCAGAAATGGGATGCTTTAGTAAAAAGCGACTCTTGTGTTTGAAAACCTAGCTAAAGTCAGCCGGGGGCTTTCTAACTTGAGTTGGAACAGCCCTGGTGTGGTCCACACATTCTTGATGAGTTGTGGTGGAAAGTCATTATTTGTTCACTTTAGGTCATGACAGCCCATTAGCTTACCATGTGAAGCTTTCTGGGTAAGTCCAAACTAAGCTGTTTACAAATAACAAGTGTACATGCCACGGGCTGGGCCATTTGTTTTTATCCAGGCTGAAGTGGGTGGTTGACTAGGGGAGCCCTGGGTACCTGCCCCGGCTCCAGGTGCCTGTCGTTCACCTGGCGCTCACCTGCAGCTGTGAGCGCTCACCTGCTTGGCTGGCATCAGAAATGAAGGGGGTGTCCTGGGCACCCTCTGCCATGGCTTTGTCTCACAAATCCACTTGTCCCGAACTCAACTAGGGAAGCAGGCGCTGCATATGAATGCCCTGCAGACTCCACAGGGCTCCGCATTCCAACAGCCTGTGCAGATGTTTCTCTCTCCTTCCCATTCTCACAGCTTTCCCAAACCCTGGAATGCTACCCACTGAGTCTTCCTGCGGCTGAAATGCCTCCTATCACGTGCAGCCTTCCCGGTTCTCCTGGGGTCTCCTCCCCTGCGTGAAATCCCTCCTATCAAGTGCAGCCTTCCTGGTTCTCCTGGGGTCTCCTCCCCCGCATGCCTTCTCAGAGCACTTTGCATTTTTGTGCTCACCTTCTCACTGTGGCCTTTGCCTCTCATCTCTTCAATAAGGTAAAAACGCCGTGTCCTCTTTATCTTCTGTGTTTTTCTATCTCAGATCTTTCCCCACAGTCGTTGCTTTAAAAAAAAATACTTAGCAAGGGCTGGCAGTGTGGCATCCTGAGCTAAGCTGCCACCTGCAATGCTGGCACCTAAGAGTCCCAGCTGTTTCACTTCTGATCCAGCTCCCTGCTAACGTATGTTGGAAAGCAGTAGAAGATGGTCCAAGCCCTGGGGCCCCTGCCACCCCAGTGGGAGACTCAGAGGAAGCTCTATTTCAGCCTGAACCAGCCCCCGCCAATGGGGCCATTTGGTGGAGGGAACCAGCGAATAGAAGATCTCGCTCACTCTCTCTTCCCCTTCCTCCCTCCCCCCACCCCGCTTCAAATAAATAAATCTTTTTAAAAAATACTTAGCAAATGACTTCTTGTACTTGGGAAGTTACTAATCGAAGTAGGAAAGAATCTCATTGAAAAATCATGGCATATGCACATAAAGATAGTTAACAAGAAAAGACAGTGAGTTGAGTAAGAGGTGTCTGATCAACAAAGTAAATTGTACAAATCTGTGCTTTAAAGGGGACAGACTGGACCAGTGTTGTGGAGTAGCAGATGAAGCTGCCACTTGTGGTACTGGCATCCCATATGGCCAGTGACTGGTTCGCGTCCCTGCTGTTCCACTTCTGATCCAGCTCCTTGCTAATGGCCTGGGTAAAGCAGCAAAAGATGGCCCAAATGCCTGGGCCCTTGAACTCACGTGGGAGACCCAGAAGAAGCTCCTGGCTCCTGACTATGACCTGGCCCGCCCTGGCCATTGCAGCCATTTGGAGAGTGAAGCAGCAGATGGAAGATCTCTCTCTACCTCTGCCTCTCTCTCTCTCTTTCTGTAACTCTGCCTTTCAGATAAATAAAATAAAATAAAATAAAAGCTAAAAGAGGGGGATAGACTTTATAAATAGGAGAATCACCCTTATGCTCACTTAGATACTATTTACATTTAGTTTACAGACAGTTCTAGTAACCCAATGCTCTGATTTCCAAGCCTACCATGGACTAGAAACACATTGAAAGAGAGCGGGAGGGGCCCTCAGGGAGACCCCAGGGACTGCAGAGGGGGTCATGGTAAGGAGTGCTTCCTTCTCTGGCACAGGCTTTTTCTTTTGCCAGCAGCACCTCCAGGAACTTGGCCACATCAAGGGCTCACAGTGTGCACAGTGATGAGCTGAGGTGGTGAATGGTGACGTGGATATGCAATCTCCAGAGTGGTGATATGGGGCTGGCACTGCAGCGTAGGTGAAGCCTCTGCCTGTGGCACTGGTATCCCATATGGGCGTTGGTTCATGTCCTGCTCCTCTTCCCATCTGGCTCCCTGCTAATGCACCTGGGAAAGCAGAAGATGGCCCAAGTCCTTGGGTCCTTGTACCCACATGGGAGACCCAGAAGAAGCTGCTGGCTCCTGGTTTCAAATTGGCTCAGCTCCTACTGTTATGGCCATTTGGGGAGTGAACCAACAGATGGAAGAGCTCTGTCTCTGTGTCTGTAACTCTACCTCTAAAATAAATAAATAAATCTTTTTTTAAAAAAGGTGCTGATCCTTTAAAGGGCTGTTTTCTCAAAATTCTCCAGATTTCCTGTTTATTGGCTAATAATGCCAGCAGTGCGGCGCCACAAGGTGGTTTTAAGGGGAGAGCCACAGGCATAGCTGGCCAGGGAAAGCTTCCCTAGGGAGGGTAAGTGTGTCCTTTCCTGAAGAGAAGAGACAACTGGAATAGAGGCCCAGCTGGAAGACCGTGTCTGACCCAGCCCCAGTGCTCCACATACACGTGCAGAACAAGCAGGCCAATAGTACTTCTATGGGGAATGTGGGCAAGGCAGTGGAGAGAGCAATGCCCAGGGTATGCCAGAGTGGAGCAGAGGAGTCAAGATCAAGGTAAGGGCTTACAGGGCCGGCGCTGTGGCGTAGCAGGTAAAGCCGCCTCCTGTAGTGCGGCATCCCATATGGGTGCCAGTTTGAGTCCCGACTGCTCCACTTCCAATCCAGCTCTCTGCTGTGGCCTGGGAAAGCAGTAGTAGATGGCCCAAGTCCTTGGGCCCCTGCACCCACATGGGAGACCCAGAAGAAGCTCCTGGCTCCTGGCTTCAGATCAGCACAGCTCTGGCCATTGAGGCCAATTGAAGAGTAAACCAGCGGATGGAAGACCTCTCTCCCTCTCTCTGCCTCTCCTTCTCTTTCTGTGTAACTCTTACTTTCAAATAAATAAATAAATCTTTAAAAAAAATCTGTTCCACCAACCCTTCCAATATTAAAAGAAAAAGATAAGGGCTTATACTGGAGAATTCAAATTTGAGTGGCTAGGATTAGAGGATAGAGAAGGTTCAATTCAACACTCATACTTGAACTACTTTAAACAGGCAAGCACCATGATAAAACACTCATTCATCTAAAAACGTAAACTTATAGTCATTATGCGCCAAATATAAAGCTGGGTGATATAACATTGATCAGTATGGTGCAACATATGTTTATTGAACACTTACTTTGTAGCAGTTCCTATTCTAGACTCTGATGATACCTGAAAGCAGGCAACAGCTGCTGCCTCCATAAAGTCTACATTCTGTGGGGAGAGATGGACAAAAGAGTGTTCACAAGACTCTGGTGGAAGAGGAGCTCGGGTGCTCCCTGTGGAGACTGAGGCAGAGACAAAGCTTTGCAATGGCACCTGACTGCTGGACAGAGGTGGGAGGCAGCTGGAGCACGGAGGCAGCCTGGCTCAGCCTATGGGGGCAGTAAGGCTGCACCTGGCTGGCCCTGGGGGCTGGTGCTCAAAGATGAGTACGAGGCTGGTAGAGAGAGGGGGCATCTGGGCAAAGGCACAGGAGTGGGACAGAATCTGTCGCAGAAGGCGCATCTGAGGAATGGCAGAGAGCAGGGGCAGCCTCCCCAGGAGGCTGCGGTGGGGCCACAGGACTGGAGGGACCGGGTATAATGGGGAAGGAGGGCAGGAGGGTGAGGCTCAGAGGGCAGGAGCAGGTCTGCTAGCTTAGGGCACTTAATGGTTTGGCTGGGGAGTGCAGGAGGGAAGAAGCAGGGCAAGGGTGAACCAGAGAGGGTGGGCACGAGGTCTGGAAGAGGGGCAGGGGCCAGAGCTGGGGGGGGGGCACATGGCAAGCTGACAGGCTTGGATTTTTTTAAAAGATTTATTTATTTATTTGCAAATCAGAGTTACACAGAGAGAGGAGAGGCAGAGAGAGAGAGAGAGAGAGAGGTCTTC